ATTCATAGCCTCTGTGGGTTTGTTAAGGAGCTCTGGTGGGGCAGTGGCTAAAACATTGGGCTGCTAATCAGGAAGTCAGTGGTTTGAACCCACCAGCCACTCTCTGGGAGAAAAATAAGGCAGTCTGCCTCCTTAAAAATTTACAGCCTGGAAACTCTAGGGGTCAGTTCCACTCTGTCCTAGGTGCCTATGAGTTGGAATTGACTTGATGGCAGTGGGTTTTTTGGTGAAATGAAATTTCTCTTCTTTTTCTTCCTCTGATTTGAATGACTCACTTGGTTCAGTTTGAAAGCAAATTCCTAGTGTTGGAAGAGTTTGGTTTCTCCAAATGTACTAAATCTTAAAAACCTTAGTAAACCTTAAAAAGCCATCAGAACCACAAAAACTATAGCCAGAGGGGTTAAAAACCACAGAATCCTGTTGTTTGATTTCCAGATGGAAATACAAACACTAAAGGAAGTAAGTATAGTTAGGATTGGTGTTCATGTGAAAATTCCCCAGCACAGGGCTGTGAGTAAATAGTTATATTGGTAATAACACCAAGTCATCCTTTGATATATTACTAGTCCCTTCTTCACAATAATTAATTCGATACAAATTCCCAGATAAACTTGTTCCTCATTGATTTTCTACTTTACAATTTCATTCTCACAATATTCAGGGAGGTATGTTGGCAGTAGTAGGTGATATGGTATTATTACATTGTACTGAGTGTGAGAGGTGGGGAGTTGTTGTTGTTGTTTTGTGCCATCAAGTTGGACCTGACTCATAGAGACCCCTCCTTGGGTTTCTGAGGCAGTATCACTATGGAAGTAGATTGCCCCATCTTCCTTCTGAGGAGTGGCTGGTGGGTTTGAACCGCCAGCCTTCTGGTTAGCAGTCAAGTGCCTTAGGCACTATGCTACCAGAGCTCCCTAGGTGGGGAGTAGGAAGGATGAAAACATGTTACTGAAATGAACACCCCTTCAGGTAAAGGATATATTTTGTTAAATTTATCTTGGAATCTTGAGTCACAAGAACTTCATCCTTCATCCTTGTGTTCCTTTGCTGAGCTTGTAGACATGTTGCTTTAAACACCTCAGACTGTATAAGGCATTTTGGTTGTTGTGGGACTTAACTTACTGTACCTTCAGCTGCCCTTACTTGTGGGAAAGATTAATTCATGGTCTTTGTACCAAAATGTGGGAAAATCCAATTGGGTCATGTTTTTATGTTAATTTACTTACTTGTGGTCAGACTCCAATTCATTCATTCATTTGACAAAGTGTCAAAAATCCAGATGAGCCAAAAAGATTCATGAACATTTGTGATTTTCTGCTTTGGCATAGTAACAGCAACATGCTTTGCCAGTAGTCTCTGCTCATTAATGGAGATATTTCTCCCCCTTGTGACAACTATTAATTTCCATGTGTAGTCCCTAGGTGGCACAAATGGTTGAGCACTCAACTCCTAGCCCATAGATTGGAGGTTCAAACCCACCCAGAGGCTCCTTGGAAGAAAGGCCTGGCCATCTGCTTCCAAAAGGTCAGCCTTGAAAACCCTATGTAGCAGTTCTACTCTGTAGCACATGGGTTCCCCATGATTCAGAATCAACTGGAAGACAGTTAACGTTCATGATCCATTCATTTGTTTATATTTACTTCACAAATATATTTTTGAATACCCACTTTGTGCTAGATACCTTGCTAGGCTCTGGGGAACTCAGGGACAGAAGTAACACTACTCATTGCCCTCAAGTTGCTTCCCGTTGAGAAGAGGGGACAGATAGGTACCATTAGCTGTAATGTCCCTTTGGGGCAGGCAGTTCTCTGTTCTGTAGGGTCTGAGTTGGAATTGACGTGACAGCAACTGGCATAGAAAATACCATCCAAGTAAGGTTTATATAATCATGTGTCCCGTTAGCCTATGTTTAATTCAATCATTATTATTCAAGGGTATCTTAATAATTTTTCTATGCATATGCAGCTATAAAAAGGAAGAACAGATGTCTGTTCAGAGCTACCTAATAAGTCAATGTGCATGTTTTAATTTTTATATGAAGTTTTCACTCCTGTGGCAATCATAATTTACCAGGATATTTCTGTAACCTTTCTCTAAACAAGTAAGCATGCAGATATATCTTTAAATGATAAATACTTGTTTTCATTGATCCCTAATATCAATTCAATTTCACAACAATCCTTAGTTTTGTTGCTAATCCTATTTCTTGGTGATTTTTTTTCTTCATCATTTTAAGTAAAATTAGCCTCAGAGCCTTCCTTCATCCATTCAAGCTTATTAGTAACTGTTGTTTTTCAGCAATT